GAGATGATGTCATGATGAGGCCGAAACCAGCACATCCAGTGCAAGTAGACTTTGACTATTTAACTGTACTTAAAGCTGCAGTCCGTAACTTTTTGGGGTTAAAAATGGAGAAGAAATGTATTTTTAAGTGAAAATTAACACTTTTCTCCACACTCACTCACCAAATTGACAAAATATTAGGAACAGCTCTCAGTATAATGCAGTATAGTTTACATCCAATAGGGGTGTAACGGTACATGTATTCGTATTGAACCGTTTCGGTTCGAGGCTTCCGGTTCGGTACGCATACAAACCGAACAATTCCTTGGACCATTTTTCCTGCCGACAAAATTCGCGCTGGCGCGATCACCACAACGTTGCGCAACATCAAATGGCAAGCGTAATGAAACCGGAACGAAACTGCGCTATTGTGCTTCACGGATCGTTTATCAGTTCGGAGCAGAGCAGCATCATCTGTGCAGCGCGAGCCGATCTCGATCAAGCGACACTGTTACAACCGTTACTACACAGCGCTAAGAGATCCAGTAAAGAAAACATTTGAGTTCGCCACTGAAGTAATAACATCGCTGCGAGATCTAGTGAGAAGCATTCACATTTCTCCGTTATTAACCGTAGACCTCTATTAGATCAAACAGCGCTGACGTGGACACCAGGAGAAACATTGTGCCGTGAATGAACTAGTAATACTTTACGTCCACAGACCAGCAACATTCACCATGGATTTAATATAGTAACACTAACTGTAACCAGTTTGGCTGGAATAGTGAACTGCTTTCAAGTACTTCACACATCTTTTCCCAGCACTTCAAAACTCAAATATTATATAAATAAATAGCCTATATGAAGAGTTCAGATGCAAAAGCCTCTATAAGTGCCATTTGAAATTTTCTTCTAGAAATTAGAATGATCATTTTTATGAAGCTTGTACATTTAAGTTCAGTAATTTGAGGGAGAGTAATTACTGACAGAGTTTACATTTCTGGGTGAACTATCCCTTTAAGTAAAAGTCTAAGTGTATCTGATTTTAAGTATTTTACTCATATGATCGTAGGCTCATAGATGCACCTCAACACCTTGAAAATTAACAATTGATTTGTAAGATGAGAAATAGTGTTAAAGGATTAGTTCACTTTTAAAAAAACTTTTGCTGATAATTTACTCACCCCCATGTCATCCAAGATGTCCATGTCTTTCTTTCTTCAGTCGAAAAGAAATTAATGTTTTTGATGAAAACATTCCAGGATTTTTCTCCATATAATGGACTTCAATGGTAGCCAAACGGTTCAAGGTCTAAATGACCGTTTCAGTGCAGCTTCAAAGGGCTTTAAACGATACCAGACGATGAATAAGGGTCTTATCTAGCGAAACGATCGCTCACTTCAAAAATAAATAAAAAAGTTAAAGTTTTATAGGCACAAATGCTCGCCTTGCGAACTCTCCTGTTCGAACTCGTTCATCAAAATGAACGAATGTCAATGACTCGAAAAAAGATTCGTTCATTTTGATGAACGAGTCAATGACTCGAAAAAAGATCCGTTCATTTTGATGAACGAGTCAATGACTCGAAAAAAGATTCGTTCATTTTGATGAACGAGTTCGAACAGGAGAGTTCGCAAGGCGAGCATTTGTGCCTATAAAACTTTAACTTTTTTATTTATTTTTTAAATGACAGATCGTTTCGCTAGATAAGACCCTTATTCATCGTCTGGTATCGTTTAAAGCCCTTTGAAGCTGAACTGAAACGGTCATTTAGACCTTGAACCGTTTGGCTACCATTGAAGTCCATTATATGGAGAAAAATCCTGGAATGTTTTCATCAAAAACATTAATTTCTTTTCGACTGAAGAAAGAAAGACATGGACATCTTGGATGACATGGGGGCGAGTAAATTATCAGCAAAAGTTTTTTAAAAAGTGAACTAATCCTTTAACACTATTTCTCATCTTACAAATCAATTGTTAATTTTCAAGGTGTTGAGGTGCATCTATGAGCCTACGATCATATGAGTAAAATACTTAAAATCAGATACTCTAAGACTTTAACTTAAAGGGATAGTTCCCCCAAACATGTAAACTCTGTCAGTAATGACTCTCCCTCATGTTGTTCAACCCCGTAAGACTTTTTTGAATACTGGCCAGCATCACACGCGTCACACACATGACCAGCGTCGGCCAATAGTGAGCCTGCGTGTGACGTACACCCCAGAAGCGCTGCGCTGTTACACTACGTGAACTCACTCGAGGCCCACAGAGAAGGACATGAAGAGTTGAATAAAGTCGTTATTTTTGTTTGTTTTTTGCGCACAGAAAGTATTCTCGTCGCTTGATAAACTTAAAGGGGTCATATAATGCCATTTTTGTACAAGCTAATATGATTCTTTAGGGTTTAAATTAAAAGTTTGTAATATACTTTAATTAAAAATTCTCATTAGTATTGTAAGAAAACACTTATTTTACCTGGTCAAAAACAGCTCTGTTTTCAGCACGCCGTTTCAGTGCATATGACTTTAAATGATAATGAGCTTTGCTGACTCCGCCCCTCTGTTCTGTGCGTACACCAGAGCTCTGGCGTACACCATTTGTAACTCAATAACCATAACGCGTTGTTCAGTATAAACGTGGGATTATGAATTATATTGAGAACGTCATACATAGAAAACATGCCGTAATGTACCCTGAGTGTAAACCTTAGACTCATTCATTGTGAAGCGTGCAGCTAGCGATTTTTAGCAAAGATTAATATATTAATATAAAGTTTAATAAAACGTTACACTCACTTCCGTTCTTCTGGAGATTCAGCAGGAACACGAATATCTGGTAGCAGCTACCGATCCATTTTTCATGAGCAGCAGCTTAGCAAATCCAGCTTTATACTGATCCTCGTCTATAAAGCAGTCTGGTGAGAAATGATTCGCGCAAACATGAACGCATTGACGTTGCTCGTGGGGAATATTCCCTTCGAAAACAAACTCAGCCACTGCGTCTTCAGCGGTTCGGATTCAGGAACATTAAAATGACTGTGTTCGTTATTACACCCAAGAACAGAACACCACAATCGCTTAGAGCCATTCTGCTCATAGACAGTGCTCCAGCATATCAACAATGACCGCGCCGGTCCGCGCAGACTATGATTGACAGCTCTCTCATGGAGCTGATCTCACCCGCGAGGGCGGGTCTGTGTTGAGACGCTCCTGTCAATCAACAATCGTGGGAGGGGCTTCCGAGCGTGTGACGTCACACGGTCGAACGGCTCGATTTGAGGCAGGGGAAAACATATAAGGAGATTAAAACAAAACCACTGGATGGATTTTTATCATTATATGATGGTTGTGTACAGACACTGCCAACACACATTTCAGTACAATAAACTTGTAAAAGTGCATGCACCATTATATGACCCCTTTAAGGTTGAGCCGCTGTCGTCACTCGGACTATTTTAACGATGTCTTTAATAACTTTCTGGGCCGGCAAGTTTCAGTCCCTTAGAAGCCTATGGAGGAGTGATCCAGCTCTCAGATTTAATCAGAAATATCTTCATTTGTGTCCCGAAGATGAACGAAAGTCTGACGGGGTTGAACAACATGAGCGAGAGTCATTACTGACAGAGTTTACATGTTTGGGGTGAACTATCCCTTTAAAGCGGATTGGAATTGGTAACTTGTAAAGAGTTATCTTCACTGTAAGGTGTCTGTACTTTACTCAAGTGTGGTTTCAGGTCCTCTTACACCTGTGGTTTCTGCTCTCCAGGCGACCCTGCGTAAGCTCCTGGATCACCTGAAGCGCGTGGCGTCTCATCACGAGGTGAATAAGATGACCTGCCAGAACCTGGCGGTGTGTTTCGGGCCGGTTCTGCTCAGCCAGCGGCAGGAGGCGTCGTGTCACGGGAACCGGGTCTTCATCGACTCCGAGGAGCTGGCCAGCGCTCTGCACTTCAAGAAGCACATCGAGGTGCTGCACTATCTGCTCCAGCTCTGGCCCGGTGAGAACAATACACTCGATATTACTCATTACCCTCATTATAATAAACGTTCTGTGAGATTCACACACGTTTGTTTCGGACCAGGTTTGCTTTCTTCCGTGAAACGCAGTAAGAGACACGAAACTGCAAGTTGTTATGATAGTTTTATGGTGCTTCTTTCCAAATTTGTAATGAGAATCTTTTATAAATCTGTTATCTGTCTTCAGAAGGTTTTGTGTGTGTGTGTGTGTGTGTGTGTTCTTGTATATATGGTTTATGAGGACACAAATGTGTATAATGACATGGGTATTACAACGTAAACATGGTTTATGAGGACATCTCATATGTAAACCACATATACAAGTATGTGAGTGTGTGTGTGTGTTTAGAACAACATTAGCATAAGGATGTCGTGTTTAGGTGCGCTGTTTCTTTAAGACTGTCTTAACCTTCAGCTCACCCGTCCCGCCGCCTCACACACATGCATGTATATATTTAAGAAAAATGTGTTATTTATATATAAAATATTTATATATAATATAAATGATGTATAAATATATATACACAGCAAATACATGCAAATATTTCTTAAATATATACATGCATGTGTGTGCGTATTTATATATACAAAACAATTATACACGGTACACACACATATATATTATGTAAACAGTTTTATTTTGGATGCAAGTAATCGCGGTTAATCGTTGCCCAGCACTAGTTTGTTTATTTTCTGCAATGATGTGCACATATTGTATTTATAGTCAGTTTTGCATTATTGTTTTACTAATATGAAAAGCAGCCTACCATATTTGTATTTACCATGTTAATGAGAAAATTTCAGATTTTTTTGTAAATCACGTTTTTTTTTTATCAGTAAGAATTATCCAAACTTCAAATCTAAGCTTGTTTGGACTATTTTCCTCTGTAAAGCTGCCTTGAAACGATTTGTATTATGAAAAGTGCTACGTTTTTCATGTTTTGCTGTGTCAGTCCTTCTTTTATGCTGTTTTGTTATGTTTTATGCCTTTTTTTTAGGTTTATGCTTTAAAAAAAAAACGCTTTGATTTGCTGTCAGAAACTCTCAAAATCCGTCTGTATCCAAAAAAATCTATTTCTATTTTAAACAAAACAACATTGATTTAATGATGTTAGGTGACTACCTAAGCTGAGTTAACTAAGTTAAAACCAGCATATATGCTTAACAGGTTGTGTGTATAGAAATTCTAGCCTTAAGCCCATTCTTTAAGTACTTTTATTGTAAAAAACAAAAACAAAAAAAAACCCCGCATAATTTAAGGCTGAAGCACCGCGGTTCACTTCGTTTTTACACAAAACGCAAAATTAGCCACCAGAATAGTATGCGCAGGTCGCACAAGCGAATTTAATTTGTTTTGCACTAATCAGTTGTTTCACAAGATGGCAACACTGGACCGGACCATTGTTTCACAGTAGAAAATAAAACTAAAGAAAAGGAACAACAACAAAACACCAGAGACTACAACAACAACAGACTTGAGTACGGTGGTTATGAGTGAGCCGCAACGCTAGTATAAAAGAATACAGATTTTTATCTGTAATAACTTCTGGAGAGAAATAGACAGACACTGGACAAAGATGAAACTCTCTAGAGCACATGCGTCGACCGCTTGCGTTCACGCACGCTATCAAAAATATAAAGTATCAAGTACACTCTGGACTTCAGAGCAACAAATCTAATTATTTAGCTCTCATTTGTAGATTGTATATTTATTTGTGCTTGTCTGTTTGTTTATTTTACTCGTCCCATCACATGTAGGCCGCAGCTAAAATCACCAGAGGGTTTAGAGGGCAGATCGGGGCAGGTAAACGGGATTAACGGGTGTGCTTTGCGTGTCTTCTGCTATTCTTTCATGATCTCAATATCTTGCTAGCATGCAGATTTGTTCAAATAGAAGCTAAAAATAATGATAGCTTGCCTCTGTTGTGCCACTTTCCTTCACCAGATCACCCAGAGTTACAACGTTTGTGGCAACTTAGTTTAATAGAAGGTTGTGTTTTTGGGGGTAGAGCTCAACAAAAAGTATTTGAGGTTTAGCCAAATTGGGTTGGTGTCGGTAGTTAGGATTTTTTAGGGTCTTGTGACATCTGTCTCATTTGTTCTGCATGCTTTGAGTTTTTTTATGGAAAAACCCATATGTTATTGTCAGTGTTGGGGAGTAACTAACTAAAAGTCTAAATACCTAAATTCTCCTCTCTCTATCAAGTAATGCTCGTAAAGTACCATTCATTTTAGTAAATCTTTTTCTCTCTATCTCTTTAATGTGTACAAAGATATTGCCTCCTTTGAAGTATTTATTTGACTAGATTGAAGCTATTAAAGTACATTCCCCAACACTGTTTATTCCATATATTCTCTCACCATCTGAAATGTTTCATTAATTTGTATTCAAGTGAATAAACCCATTGTTTTCTTTCTCTTTTAGTTGTGGACGCACAGGGTAAATCTTCATCTCCGGTTCCTGCCCTGATGGAGTCGCTCCCAGTGGTGACGGCTGCCGTAAGGAGGAGAAAAGAGCGTCCACAGGTGTTGAATTTAACTGAGGCGGACATGGCTGGAGTTTTGCGACCCAGACCTGGACGTCTGGACAGTCCCAGTAACCGCTACGCCGGGGACTGGAGCCGATGCCGGGAAACTTACCTCCAACCGAGCTGCCTGGAGGAGGCCGACTATGACGACGTTCCCAGCGAAGAGCCTCTGAACGTGGGACAGGAGGATTTACCGAAGGGTACTGAAGATGTGGTCCCTGAACAAGAGTTTCCCGAGGTGGATGAGGCAATGGAGAGGGTTGAGGAAATGCAGATAGAGGAGGAATTGAGTGAGGAAGAGGATACACGAGAGTTGGATAGGCTACAAGTAGAGGAACCTCTACCTATCAGCCCCTGCGATCAGATCCTCCCCGATTACGAGGAGCACAGACCCAAAGAGCACACCTACCAGGCCTACATGAAGATCCAGGAGATCAGCCCAGTACTAAGCAACAGGGTCAACCTACGGGACTTGCAGGAGAGCATCGACACGCTCATTGGCAACCTGGAGAGGGAGCTCAACAAGAACAAGCTCAACGTAGGTTATTGACTCTTTACCAGAACAGTGGAAATATGGTGGTGATTTCCTACAGACTTAAGCGGTATGGTACGTTCTCGCTCCCATGCACACTTGGGATGCATGTACAAGAAGACATTCCTCACTTCTGATTTGTGTTTTTGTTTGTCTCCTGGTCTCCATGTTGTTGATCGCGTTATTGTTTTTCTTCTTATGAGAAGAACTCATTGAACCCCGAGGGGTGCGCCAGGTGCCTTCATTGTGTCAAGGTGGTGCTTACGACAGCGAGAGCTTTTTACTTTCTAAAGAGGTACAAAACATTACGATGAAAACCAATGCACTTATGGGGCCTGCTGTTAGAGGCACGGCTAGTTCAGGTACAGGTGTAAAGCCTTACGGTGGGAGAACTAGGTACTACAGATACATCCCAGATCCTAAACCAGGGGAATTCAATCCTGCTCATGGTGATCCGGCTTCCTGTAGACTTCAGTTCCAAACCTCCAAACACACTTGAACCAGCTAATCAAGGTCTTTGGGATTCACTTAAAGAGGTAGATCACCAGGAGCGGGAATGAACACCCTACCCTAACCCTATACTAGATGTCTCAAATGCAAATGACCTAGTTAGGTGGTTTTAACGAGTAGTTTGAGATCACTGTACTCTACTTCCTAAACTATGAGTGTTTTATCCTAACCTTATCCTAAACCAGGAGAATCCAGTCTTGCTCTTGGAATGCTACCTTCAGCTCCAGTTCTAATGAAAGGGATAGTTCACCCAAAAATGTAAATTCTGTCATCATTTACTCACCGCATGTCATGCCAAATCCATAAGACTTTTATCAGCGAACATAAACCGAAGCTGAACTGTACTTGCTTGACGCGTGAGAACAAACCTCATTGGTTCTTGCGTGTGTCCTCAGAAGGCTTGGATTAAACCACGCAGTTAATGTGGATTTATTTTACAATCACTTTATAAACGTTTTGAAACGTAAGAGTTTTTAGGTCAATACTTTCAATGGAGGGACAGAAATCTATCAGATTTCATTACAATTTTTTTCAATTGTGTTCCGAAAATGAACGAAAGTCTTATGGGATTGTAACACAATGAGGGGTGAGTTATTGATGACAGAATTCTCGAATGCAAATTACCTAGCGAGGTGGTGTTAGCTAGTTGTTTGAGATCCCTGCGCCCTAGTCCCTCTACTCTGAATGTCATATCCGAACCCTAATTCTGTTATAACACTTACACCCTAAACCAGGGGGGTTCAGTCCTGCTCCTGGAGATCTTGCTACCTGTAGACTTAATTTCCAACCCTCCAAACACACTTTAACGAGCTCATTGGGGATCACATAAAGAGGTAGATCTCCTTGAGCGGGATTGAGCCCCCAAACCTCAACCCAATGATCCCGAACAAATTACCTAGCGAGGTGGTGTTAGCCAGTAGTTTGAGATCCCTGCGCCCTATACCCTCAACTCGGTATGTCATATCCGAAGCCTACCCTGTTCTAGAGGTCTTCAGTCCTGCTCCTGGAGATCTTGCTTCCTATAGACTTAAGTTCCAACCCTCCAAACACACTTTAACCAGCTAATTGGAGATCACATAAAGAGGTAGATCACCAGGAGCGGGATTGAGCGCCCAAACCTCAACGATCTTGAACTCTCCATCAGGGGTCTCGAATGCAAATTACCTAGCGAGGTGATGTTAGCCAGTTGTTTGAGATCCCTGCGCCCTAGACCCTCAACTCGGTATGTCATATCCGAAGCCTAATCCTTTTCTTATACTCTAAACCAGGGGTGTTCAGTCCTGCTCCTGGAGATCTTGCTACCGCGATCTCGTAGACTTAAGTTCCAACCCTCCAAACACACTTTAACCAGCTAATTGGAGATCACATAAAGAGGTAGATCACCAGGAGCAGGATTGAGCGCCCAAACCTCAACGATCTTGAACTCTACATCAGGGGTCTCGAATGCAAATTACCTAGCGAGGTGGTGTTAGCTAGTTGTTTGAGATCCCTGCGCCCTAGACCCTCAACTCGGTATGTCATATCCGAAGCCTAATCCTTTTCTTATACTCTAAACCAGGGGTGTTCAGTCCTGCTCCTGGAGATCTTGCTACTGCGATCTCGTAGACTTAAGTTTCATCCCTCCAAACACACTTCAACTTGCTCATTGGGGATCACATAAAGAGGTAGATCACCAGGAGCGGGATTGAGCCCCCAAACCTCAACCCAATAATCCTGAACTCTACATCAGGGGTCTCGAATGCAAATTACCGACTGAGATGGTGTTAGCCAGTAGTTTGAGATCCCTGCACCTTACTTTCTAATCTCTGGATGTTACGGGATTGAGCCCCCAAACCTCAACCCAATGATCCCGAACAAATTACCTAGCGAGGTGGTGTTAGCTAGTTGTTTGAGATCCCTGCGCCCTAGACCCTCAACTCGGTATGTCATATCCGAAGCCTACCCTGTTCTAGAGGTGTTCAGTCCTGCTCCTGGAGATCTTGCTTCCTAAAGACTTAAGTTCCAACCCTCCAATCACACTTTAACCAGCTAATTGGGGATCACTTAAAGAGGTAGATCACCAGGAGCGGGATTGACCGCCCAAACCTCAACCCAATGATCCTGAACTCTGCATCAGGGTCCTCAAAAACAAATTACCTACTGAGATGGTGTTAGCCAGTAGTTTGAGATCCCTTACTTTCTAATCTCTGGATGTTACATCCTAACCCTACCCTGTTCTAACACTTACACCCTAAACCAGAGGTGTTCAGTCCTGCTCCTGGAAGAACACCTTCAGCTCCAGCTCTAATTAAATGCACCTAATTCTAATCAAGGTCTTTAACTACAATCTTTTAATTTTAAGGTAGATGTTTTGGAGATAAACTTTGCCGGAAGGTGGCTCTCTAAGAGCAGTCACAGACACCGAACACCTTTTCATTCAGGGAGCGACTAACGCTGCTGGTCTAGTTGAGGTTGCAGTCGTCTGAGATAAAAACAGCTGCTGTTTGAGTTTTTTTCCATGTAAAATTACTTAAAACATCCTGCTTAACAAGCTGCGGACAGTGGAAAATGAATATGCTTGTAGTAAATAGTAAATTTAATATTTAATAATAGTTAGGCAGAACTTTAATGATAATTTTTTTTAAAAATAATTTAAAATTGCTGATGTTTATGTTGCTTTCGATGGACTAAACACAAAATTTAACTTAAAAATTAAAAGGGCAATCTAAATAGCCTCTGTGATAATCATGGTAACATGATAACACCATGACGACAGCAGTCCCACTTTTGATCATTATATTTGTAAATGCATCATTCTCAGCAGTCCAGGGATACAAACTCATCAGTATTTGACAGACACATGTATGTATATAGGAATATAGTTGGAATATGTATTTTTCGATGACGTACACTTCAGTTTGTGCATATTTAAATGTTCGTCAGCTACCTTGTAGTATTTGGCCTGTAGATCAGCCTTAAATATATATATATATTTTGTTGGGTCTATGTAATGATATAACCCACAGTCACAGAATGAGTATGGATTTTGAGTATTTTGTGGTCACGAAAGTGCAGGAAATTTGAGCATTGCATGGTCAAAAGCTTTACGGTCAAAAATTAAGTGTTTCTCAGTGTATCCTACAGCGGGATGTATTTATGCGTGTAGATAGAGATCATTTTAATTACAGTGAAATTCTAATTTTGTTTTGTTTTTTTCCATTTGGCAGCTGCTCACATTTATGGCTCGGTTGTAAATGTGCAGTTCTTGTGAATCCAAGACTGAATCTGTACACGGGCTGTTTGTTTTCTGATTGTGCTTCTCGCCTGACAATGGTCTCCACAGATTGAAATGCTACAGTCTGCCTGGAAATCTCATTCTAAAAGATATAAATAAAGGATTTGTTACACAAAAAAAATAAATTTGAGTAAAAAAAAAATTCTCAGATGTTTCCCACGTCGCCAAATCCAGCGAATAAAAGCAGTCGACTGGAGTTTTGTTCGGTGACCGTGGTCTCAGTTTTCTCTCAGTAAGGCGGTCACACTAGATTTTAAGTATGCGAAAGTATGAAAAAAAAAATACATACTTGTTTTGCTATATAATTGGATATGATGCCTTGCATATGGACTTCTCATTTGAATAATAAATACAATGCTAAATTCAGAATGTTAACTATCTATTCCAGATTGGAGATTTCAGTATGCATGCTTATAAATGTGTATTGATGCAAATCCAGTGTGGCCGCACCTTTAGGGTGTTTAATCTGGTTTCCTGAAGCCTGATTTGGGATCAGATTCCCTGTCATCCATGGTCAGCAAGAAGGAAACGTGTTAGCTGCTTTGATAAAGACATTCCTGTTTTTCTCTTTTAACTCTGCTGCGGTTTTTGTAAAAGTTTGGTTGTGCTAAGATGAACGCACGACTAAAGCAGATATTATTTGTACTGATATTGAGAAGTATATGATCACATTAAAGTTTATTTCATGCAGACTCTGATGACTCGACCGTTTTTCTTGATATATTTAGCCGCTTATATTCACAGATGGTCGTGTGATCGAAGCAAGCTCAGGCTACAACGAGTCACGTTTTTCCTCTGCGGATTCACATTTCGGTTCCTGTAATTTGTCATGGGAACATTAGCTGGTGATCTGTCACGGCAGCTCAGTCATCATCAGTCTGATATATCAGGTGAGTCTGCGCCAAAAACAAAAAAAAACACTGGTATGCAATGAATCTTGGGATAGTCTGTGAAGGATCCACTCGTGTGTCCTTCACGGCCCAGGGAAAGTAGATGCATTTGTAGGCCTCGATCCTTCGTCGCAATCAGCCTTCGAATTTTAAAGCAATATAATGAGTGGGCAGGATGATTTTCACGGCTACTGCAAAAAATGCTTTTCTTACTCAGTATTTTTGTCTTGTTTCCAGTCCAAATATGTACAAATTCTTACATCAAGATGCATTTACTAGATGAGTAAAATGACATAAGACATTATGTCTTGTTTTCCGGAGGAATTAATCAAAACTAAGTGAGTTGATGCTTAAAAAAAGCAAAATTATCTGCCGATGGGTTGAGAAAAATAATCTTAATTCAAACAGAAACAACATTATTTTTCTCAACCCATCGGCAGATAATTTCGCTTTTTTTAAGCATCAACTCACTTCATTTTTATTTATTTCCCCAGAAAACAAGACTTAATATCTTATGTCATTTTACTACTTTAGTAAATGCATCTTGATTTATGAAATGTTTTATATTTGGACTGGAAATACTAAGTAAGTAAAGCATTTTTTGGATTAATTTTTCAAAAGTCTTGTGAACAAAAAACATCAGTATAGGTTTTATGGCCTTATTTCATTGACTCGTTTTTTCACAAACCACGCATAAATGTGATTTTCTGAAAACTAATAACTTTTACATACATGCTGCTCACATATTGCAGCAGAGTTTGTGCTAAATACAGTGTCCTTCAGCCATGAAAATGTTACAAGTAACAGAAATTCAGCGGCCTCTGTAAGATAAGCCTGGTAAAGGTCACCCTGTAGGTCTGCGATCGCAGTGCAGATGTTCGTCTTCAGGAACACCTGCTTTGCTTTCTACGATAAACATCCATACCGTCTTTCAGCATTTGGCTCGACTTCAGACGTGCGATTGGCCCAGTCAAACCCCTTTGATGTGAACCCGAGCGTTGTGATTGGCTGCCTGGAAGAGATGACCTTTGATTGGCCGTGCGATTCGTCGAGGTGATCCTTCTGATGTCGTCACTGTGCATTTAACATTTATACTGTAAAATCTGCAGATTGCGCTCGCAGAAGTCTATCAGAGTATCAGACGGAGCTTAAAGGAGAGAAAAGCTTTATCAGTGTTGACACGCGGCCAGGTTTAGTCAAAACTGCCTTTGTTTGCCCAACAGGAACAGATTAAGGAGAGAAAGCGATGAGATAGAGGCTAATGCCGCTGGAGAACGAACAGAAGACGTGATTGTTCGGTTCAAGGACCGACGTGCGGCTTCATGCAACAGACACACACAAAATGTATGAGTTTGTGTATTAGTGTTATTGCACAGTCACTAATACATTAATGCGATTTAAGAGATGCAGAACATTAGCTGCATGAAAAACAGCATCCCATAATGCCTTGCGCGATACATTTCCAGTGTAAGGAATGGATCAGAAATCATCGCTTGTTATTTTCCCTTCTTGACTCATTATCTGTTACAAAACTGGAATGCAAAGTGAGCGTTGTTGCTCACTTTGCATCAAAGAATCCTGAAATAAAAATGTAAATAACTGTTTTCAACACTGATAATAATCATAAATGTGTCTTGAGCATCAGATCCTCATATTAGAGTGATTTCTGAAGGATCATGTGACACTGAAGACTGGAGTAATGATGCTGAAAATACAGCTTTGATCCCAGGAATAAATTACGCTTTACTGTATATTCACATAGAAAACAGATGATTTACACTGTAATAATATTTCACAATATTTTTTTTTATTTTTCACAAACGTTTTTTTATTTTTTTAAATCAAATAAATGCAGCCTTGGTAAGCAAAAAGACTTCTTTTAAAAGGATTAAAAATCTTACCGATCCAAAACTTTTGAACGGCAGGGTATTTTTCAAAAGTTAAGTTTTGTCCTAATATTTGAAACATTACGCATACTATTTTGCATACTGTGCCTGAATTTGTACATTATGTACAATCATCTTACGTAAATGATTGCATTAGGTTCAGTTTATGCAAATATGTAATTACGTATTAACAGTTCACATATAAATCTGCTCTTCTGGTGTTTCATCAGGGTTTTTAAATGGTAAATAAAAAGGTATACAGTACGAAATTCTACATTAATCAATTACTTTAGGGCCGCCAAAACAAGTTACCCTATAGAAATCCATTTGATAAAGTTGACTTGAAATTCATAAGATGCACTTTTATGAAAAGTCACTGTACATCGACCAAACCTGCATTACATGTGTATTGATTGTTGTCAGGACGGTCTTGAGAAGGAAGTTTAGTGCCTGTACTGAATCGATACGAGTCGGGCTGAAGTTGATCAATACTGGACATTAAGTGCCTGAATGTGCGCATGTAACCAGAGAACCGGTTATAGATGATCTGTCGGATGATTAAGAGCGTGTTTGATTATAGCACTGATGGGGAATAAAGATGAACTCAGACGAGTAACCGGAGGAAGAATCAATCTTCAAGGTCACTGCGCTTACGACTCACAATGACAAAACACACCAAACTGCCTTTCTAATGTTTTACAAAACTCTTAATACACAAGTTGTTTTAGCTACAGGAAGGATTCTAATGCTTTGCTAATGGTATATATATATATATACACTCACCGGCCACTTTATTAGGTACCCCATGCTAGTAACGGGTTGGACCCCCTTTTGCCTTCAGAACTGCCTCAATTCTTCGTGGCATAGATTCAACAAGGTGCTGGAAGCATTCCTCAGGGAGTTTGGTCCATATTGACATGATGGCATCACACAGTTGCCGCAGATTTGTCGGCTGCACATCCATGATGCGAATCTCCCGTTCCACCACATCCCAAAGATGCTCTATTGGATTGAGATCTGGTGACTGTGGAGGCCATTTTAGTACAGTGAACTCATTGTCATGTTCAAGAAACCAATTTGAAATGATTAGAGCTTTGTGCCATGGTGCATTATCCTGCTGGAAGTAGCCATCAGAGGATGGGTACATGGTGGCCATAAAGGGATGGACATGGTCAGAAACAATGCTCAGGTAGGCCGTGGCATTTAAACGATGCCCAATTGGCACTAAGGGGCCTAAAGTGTGCCAGGAAAACATCCCCCACACCATTACACCACCACCACCAGCCTGCACAGTGGTAACAAGGCAAGATGGTTCCATGTTCTCATTCTGTTTACGCCAAATTCTGACTCTAACATCTGAATGTCTCAACAGAAATCGAGACTCATCAGACCAGGCAACATTTTTCCAGTCTTCAACTGTTCAATTTTGGTGAGCTCTTGCTAATTGTAGCCTCTTTTTCCTATTTGTAGTGGAGATGAGTGGTACCCGGTGGAGTCTTCTGCTGTTGTAGCCCATCCGCCTCAAGGTTGTGCGTGTTGTGGCTTCACAAATGCTTTGCTGCATACCTCGGTTGTAACGAGTGGTTATTTCAGTCACTGTTGGCCTTCTATCAGCTCGAACCAGTCTGGCCATTCTCCTCTGACCTCTGGCATCAACAAGGCATTTCCGCCCACAGAACTGCCGCTCACTGGATGTTTTTTCTTTTTCGGACCATTCTCTGTAAACCCTAGAGATGGTTGTGCGTGAAAATCCCAGTAGATTAGCAGTTTCTGAAATACTCAGACCAGCCCTTCTGGCACCAACAATCATGCCACGTTCAAAGTCACTCAAATCAACTTTCTTCCCCATACTGATGCTCGGTTTGAACTGCAGGAGATTGTCTTGACCATGTCTACATGCCTAAATGCACTGAGTTGCCGCCATGTGATTGGCTGCTTAGAAATTAAGTGTTAACGAGCAGTTTGACAGGTGTACCTAATAAAGTGGCCGGTGAGTGTATATATATTTAATATTTGGGAACCAATCAATCAGAATTTCTGACCTAATCTGACTCTTATTTGATTCTTTAGAATGCATTTCAAATGATTATTGGATCTGGAATGTTGTTCCAAACAATCCATTAGCATTCTGTTAAGATTCTTTGAAAAGCAAGTTTACACTGAATAACACTGAATGATTTACATTGATCAATCAGAATGACAAACTAGATGGGTTTTATTTTTCAAAGAACTTAACTAATTACACCAGCGTTAAATCTTGTAATTAGAACATCTGACTCAGCTGTAACTTGGAGGTTCTTGTGCTTTGTTCCAGAGCGTGATGGTGATGATGATGATGATGATGATGTCTCTAATGTGTTACAGGTCCGTCGTTTCGGTCAGGAGGCCCATGTTCTTCAAAACGGTCTTCTCCAGAGCCAGAAACTGTTCATATTCCTTCAGCGCTTCCGCCTCCAGTTCCTCGGCCTGTTTCAGTGGCACTGGCTCCTGATGAACAACAACTCACACAAGTTAAGGCCATTTCACACTACAGCTTTTTATACAGACCAACAACGTTTCATGTGGTTTATTAAAGTCGTCAGTACGTTTAGACTAAACAATCAAATGCGGTGTGCACTGCAAAAAAACTGTTTTCCAGAGCAACATTCTTAACCCTTTGGTCAATGAAATGAATGTACTATATTTTAGTTCCATAATGTTTTTTATTTAATATTTTCTATTTTTAGGGGATTTTATGGTACTAAATTATATTTTTGCAGTAGTTTATAATCCATTTATTCACTTTTTGTGCATAGATCTGAAAATAAAATGTCCAACTTAAACTGTCATAAATCTCGAATGCTTTAGAGCAAAGACGCTTGGCTGATTATTGCAGAAGTGGAAAAAAGTTTTTTTTTTAAGTGTTAAGTTTAAGCTTATTGTTATGAAAAAAAACTTTTTTGAAACATGTCCATGATTTGTGTGTGTGTGTTCGTGTGTGTTCACATTGCAAGAGCAAAAACTTTACCAATTTTCGTATCATTCCAATGGAGTAAAAAAATATATATATTAAAAATGTAAAACAAAATCAGAAATGACCGAAGAGCACCACATTTAAGATACATTTATGTTTATTTATTTATGTATAAATGTAATAAAATTAGGCGTATATTTATGACTCCATTGGCAGATAATTTTCTTGTAATCATAACCACTTAATTTTGATCATTATTTTCAGAAAACAGTAAATAATTTGCTTCACAAGTAAATGTACCTTGATTTAAGAATGTTTAAACATTTGTACTGGACAACAAGACAAAAATTAGCAAAAACAAAATGAGAAATGGTAGAAAACGGTCTGGAAGCCAAGCATCTACTGCAGTAGGAATACATAGGAAGGAAAACACAGACAAATGAGCATTTACGGGAAGAGTGGAGAATATGATCATAATTCTAACTAATAGATATCCCCATATTTTCCTAGTTGATCAATCACAGTACAATTGTTTTGTATTTCAAGTTTTCTGGCATGTTAAATATGCAATCAAATTAAATCCGCACTAATTTACATACATAAATCTGAACATAAGATAAAGCTTTATTGATTGTGTTGACATATTAGAGTTAACGGTTTTTACAGAGGGGATTTTGAATATATCTTTTATCACTCCATAAATCAGAAAATACTCACAACTGCCAAAAAAAAAAAAAGTTTTAAGGAATAAAATGCTATATAAACCACTGTGAATGATATATGAACAAACCCCTCAGTAAAAACCTTCAGAATATAGACAGGAATAAATCTGTAAAGTTTGGTGTTTATAACTGTGGCAGAAGTGGAGGACAAACTCACAGGCTTTAAAGATATGTGTCGTAATTAAAATCTACAGACGCTTATAGAAAGTGTAATAAAATAAACACGTAAATGTGTATTTTGGATATTTTCTTTCACTAATCTGAATGAAAGAAGACAAAAGCAAAGCAAAATATCTCATAATCTCAAAATTTTGACCAGTGCATGAAAAACAATGGCTTAGTGTCTTGCCTTAAATCGGGAAATACTGTCAACAGTCAGAAAAAGTTTTTAGGAATAAAATATGATAAAAATAAGTGTGAGTGATATATGAACAAACCCCTCAGTAAAAACCTTCAGAATATAGACAGGAATAAATCTGTAAAGTTTGGTGTTTATAACTGCTGCAGAAGTGGAGGACAAACTCTTTAAAGATATGTAGTGTAATTCTACAGACGCAAATAGATAAAGTACAATAAAAATAAACACTTAATTGTGTATTTTGGATGTTTTCTGTCCACTGTTATTGAAGCAAAATACCCCAGAATCTCAAAATTGACCAGTACATGAAAAAAACAATAGTTTCGCCTGTAGTGTCTTGCCTTAAATCAGAAACATTAAGTGTTTGTCTTGAAATCTCTCCAGAGAGCCTCCAGCATCATGTGTCCGCGGGGTGTGAAACACAAATGTGTGTGTTTTAGACCCTCGGAGACACAGACGGCTGCATACTTTCATATTTAGTAAATATATTCAGCAAGTCTGAGCAGATCTGGAATCACATAATCACACATTCCAGCTGAACTGCAACAGGTTTCATCTGTGTTTGCTTGAGCTTATTTGCATAGCTATCGAAATGGGGACATTGCATAGACTTCTATTGTTTTTTTATAAACAGCTAGATATACCTAACCCTAACCGAAAAAGTTCTGAATTTTTACATAAAAATGTTTTTTTATGCTGTTTTAACAAATCAGGATGTCCCTAAAAGCAGGTTTTGTGAGGTTTAGCTCACCTCTGGGTACAAATTTGTCCACAAAATATGTTTAAGTAGATACATATAGCCATGGAAATACACTCAAAAAATATTTAGGACTAATTTTAAGATTTATGTATTTGAATTGCATTAAAAAAAAATTAATCCATTTGTATTACAGTTTTTACTTAATGTGATTCATATGTGTCAGTTATACATAAATGAAACAGGTCAGATTTCTGTAATAGCACTAATAAACTGAATGTGTTTAAATACACAATAAGCACTGTATTTATTATCAACAAAACCAATTTGTTTCAATCTCATATATTTTAACATGCATTTAAATGTTGCTTATTTTTATAACAGCCATATTTTTAAACACATTCATAATTTTTACCTGAATAAATGTAATTGTTAACAGATTTGTGCTAATTATTTGCAATTTGAATACAACAATTATTATTATTTAAATGGATGCATTTAAATAGTTAATAGTTTTGAGTGCATAAATCTTACCCGTTTCATTGATCACATTAAGTTTATTAGACTGTTTATGTTAAAACTGTGTAATCCAAATGGATGGGAATTATGCATTCCATTTAAATCTTACATTTATGATTAAATATTCTTTGAGTGTACATAATCTCAAAGCACATAGAAATAGATGATAAATCATCAAGAATAATTCACCGGAACATTAATTATCATTTCATCACCCTTAAGTTCCAAACCTCTGTTTTCCCCCCTTCTTTCATTAGAGTTAAACTAAATGAAAATGAGAAATATTGCTTTGGTAACTAGCTGAAATACGTTTTTTATATCTTATTTATTTTCAGTTAATGTTTTTTTCTTCTTCCAGGTAAAGAAAATGTTTTTCATGGTTTTAGTTTTAGTTAAAAAACGGGGTAAATGTTTCTTTAAACACGTCTAAAATGTTCCTCTCTCACCGTCTTCTTCTTCAGTTGTTCAGCTTCCATCTCTTTCTTGTGCTTCTCGTGTTTGAGCTGCCGTTTCTCAAAGTACTCCAGCCGTTCCTCTTCCTTTTCCAAGTACTTCCTCACATTCTGTTTCTGTAGAGAACATGTTATACACTTATAAATCCTAGTCCTACAATTTCGAGCAAGTCAACATTAAATATCTCTTTTAATCCCAAACCCAGAATCTATTGAAATGGACTCTTTTCACATTTGCGAGCTTCTTACAAGAAATTTTCTGTTGAAAATTTAAATCAACACCTAGACAAACAGTTTTGTGAATATTTGCCTGATGTCTGTTCTTTGTGTCTGTGCTGAAAATAAATATTGTGTTTGTAAAATAGTCCTGGGTGCGTAAATAGGAGAAAAAACTAAAGTGGATCAGACCGATCACTACACTCTCTTAGCCAATCAGCAGTAGGGGGCGTGTCCACTCATGATGGGAGAGGAGAGAGAGTGAGTCAATCAGCAGTAGGGGGCGTGTCCACTCATGATGGGGGAGGAGCGAGAGAGAGCCAATCAGCAGTAGGGGGCGTGTCCACTCATGATGGGAGAGGAGAGAGAGTGAGCCAATCAGCAGTAGGGGGCGTGTCCACTCATGATGGGAGAGGAGAGAGAGTGAGCCAATCAGCAGTAGGGGGCGTGTCCACTCATGATGGGAGAGGAGAAAGAGTGAGCCAATCAGCAGTAGGGGGCGTGTTCAGTCATGATGGGGAAGGAGAGAGAGTGAGCCAATCAGCAGTAGGGGGCGTGTCCACTCATGATGGGGAAGGAGAGAGAGTGAGCCAATCAGCAGTAGGGGGCGTGTCCACTCATGATGGGGGAGAAGAGAGAGTGAGTCAATCAGCAGTAGGGGGCGTGTCCACTCATGATGGGGAAGAGAGTGAGCCAATTAGCAGTAGGGGGCGTGTCCACTCATGATGGGGAAGGAGAGAGAGGGAGCCAATCAGCAGTAGGGGGCGTGTCCACTCATGATGGGAGAGGAGAGAGAGTGAGCCAATCAGCAGTAGGGGGCGTGTCCACTCATGATGGGGGAGGAGAGAGAGTGAGCCAATCAGCAGTAGGGGGCGTGTCCACTCATGATGGGGGAGGAGAGAGAGTGAGCCAATCAGCAGTAGGGGGCGTGTCCACTCATGATGGGGGAGGAACGAGAGTGAGCAAGAGGGAGATTTGAAGAAAGACTGTAGGAAGAGAGATGGCTAGGAGACATTAGAAAACAGGAAAAGGACAGAGGATTATCACTGGAAGAAGAAGGGTTATGATCAGGCAAGAGCTTTAGGAGCCGCACTGAAATTAGAAAAGCCTTCCAAGCTAATTAATACCATTAAAAAGGATCTATTAAGATGGGAAGTGTTGCCACTTTCGTTGTTTGGTAGGATTGAGACAATACAAATGAATATCTTGCCTAGATTGCTTTTTTTATTTCAATCCCTCCCAGTATGGATTCCTGCAACTACATTTAACATGCTAGAAAAACTCATATCAAAGTTCATATGGCAGAATAAACGACCCAGAATAAAATTAAAAACATTGACTTTAGGAAAAGACAGAGGAGGGCTGCGTCTCCCTAATTTAAGATATTATTACTGGGCTGCTCAGCTAACATCGATAGTGGCATGGATTAATAATGATGTTGAAACAGGATGGGTTAACATAGAACAGAGCTCTGTACCAAATACCCCTTTATCAATACTAGCTTTTATGACACCTCAATCTCAGAAGAAGATGAAAATAACAAATATATGGGTTAAGCAAACGTTGAAAGTGTGGACAACAGTTCAGAAAAAAATGAAAGGAGTGGCAACCTTATCGAGGGCTATGTCCATAGCAGATAACCCCGAGTTTCTACCCTCCCGGTGGGATGCTATTTTTAAAAGATGGACTGAGAGGGGTCTTACCATGATTGATCAGCTTTTTGACGGAAATACATTGCGCTCTTTCTCTGATCTTAAAGAAAAGTTTATGTTATCATCAAATGATTTTTTCAGAAACCTACAAATAAGAAACTATATTACAAATCATAAGGAAAGGGAAATAATTAAGAAAGGCCCAACTAATGTGGAACAGTATTTCATTGCTATAAAGAAACAACACCCACTACATAAAAAACATATGTCGCACATATACGGCAGATTACTGCTTGATTCAACAGATAATACGTTCCATATAAAGACAAAGTGGGAGTTTGAAATGAATGACCATATAGAGGATGAGACTTGGGTAAACATTTGCACAGGATGTCATAAGGGCAACAACAGTCATAACTGGAAAGAGTTTGACTGGAAAACAAAAATTAGGTTTTTTAGAACACCACAGGTGATATCAAAATTTGTGGATAATCCAGAAGCAGAGAAATGTTGGAGGGAGTGCGGGAAAGTAGGAAGCCACACACACATATTTTGGGAATGTCCAAAAGTAGTTACATTTTGGCAAGAGGTTAAGGATGAGATTATGAAAATTGTGCATGTAGATCTGCCTTTTACTCCCTTGTATTTTTTGCTTGAAGGAATACCCCAAGACTTTTGTAGTCAAAATCAGAAATATATTCTACATGTCCTCCTACTATGTGCACGAAAAACCATTACAATTAATTGGATGAAGCCACACCCACCAAAAATAAGTCAATGGAGAGAAAAGCTTGTATCTATTTATAGAATGGAACATATGACTGCCCAACTCCAACTGAAACTGGACACTTTCATACAAAGATGGACACCTATTAATATATACATTGAGGCATTGAGTGTGAACTGATTGGGGAGAAACTAAATGAATACCCTTTTTTTTTTTTTTGACCATATAGTGTTTTATGTATTTTGTATTTTTTGTATTTTCTTTTAATTTTATTAGGGCCACTGTGGTTGTCAGGGAATGTTTAGTTCATTGTTGTAATGTGTTAAAATGTGTAAAAATAAAGTTCAAAAAGAAAAGCCTTCCAGCGCTGGAGAGACATTACAGAGTGAGAAGGCTTGAACACGGACACCAAGGTTGCGTTGTTTCTGCTCCATACGCGAGTAACGTGTATGCCGTTGTTGATGTTGAATCACAGCTGCTTCATCCATGCTTGCGCGAGCTGGTAGTGGGTGCCTGTTGTGCATACTAGCGTATTTGTTATTTTGGGGGCGGAGCAATAAAGGCAGGGGCGTGTTTGTTTGGGCATCAATTCAAATATCAACAGTGTTCTTCAGAAATCGCTTACTGCACCTTTAATGACAACACAAAGTTTAATATTATATATTTACCATGTTAATAACTGTGGAAACGCATCATCAGTCTGTGAAAAGGGTCCATGAACTGAATAGATGAATTATTGATTTTATTCAGTATTGATAGTTGCCCAGCTGAACATGAGATGACATTCTCAAAGCTGCTTTGAAATGATCTATATTGTTAAAAGCGCTATATAAATGAAGGTGACTTGACTTCTCACCTCGTGGTTGGAGGATTTGCGCAGGGTCCATGGGATCTGTAGGATGTGTACTGTCCCGATACGGTCTGAGACCGCCAGAAGATGATGCTTCCCTACGGGAGAGACACGGGACACGTCAGCATCTGTCCTGGCCTCAGTTCACTAAACATGCTTAAGAACACAAGTATCCTGCTTTTTTCCTACATAAGAGAATTTTTTTTTATTCCCAACAATATTGTTAAAGAGGTGAAAATCAAGTTTATACAAATTATTTTCATGTTTAAATGTAATTTTAATTATCAAATATGAGTATAAAGGGATACAATTATTGACTTAAACATTAGTTAATGCATTAGCTAACAATGAGCAATATACAAAACAAAAACAAATCCATGTCATGACCCGTTTAAGTACTTTGTGTTGAATCCTGACTTCTAGACTTCAGGAGTGTTGGTCTTTACCCTTTATTTAACCAGTCAAGTCACTTAAGAACAAGGTCTTATTTTCAACGACAGCCTGGCAGGAGAATTAAGATCACAAACAAATTATGTTGTACTTTAAAATCTTGAATTAATGATATCTGCACTACATTCATGTTGGTTCTGTTCTGTTATCCTAAGAGGGGTTATCGCTGCTCTGATCCATGCTGGGCTGAACAGAACAGAACCACACAACTCTTGCAGATATTTGGGTAATAGACCCAACAGGACTTTACAAATAAAAAAACACCAGTGTATTCCCCGTCTACTATGCAACGACGTCCAGTTTAAAAGGGAATACAGTGCATTAAGAGCTCACCCGAGGAGCTGCTGGACCGGATGCAGGTGATGGAGGCGGTGCTGATTTTCTGGGTTTGTGAGGGTTCGTGGGTGTTTTGCAGCAGATCCCAAACCTCAATGTTCCCGTCCTCCTTCCCGATGAAGAAGAGCGCCGGCCGGGACAGGGACCAGTGGCCGATCGTATAGATGATCTTAGAGCAGGCCGACATGAGGATCGGGCCGCTCTGAAACGAGAAGTGAGACAGAATCCTTCAGCACATGCTAAACTCCATCCAAAACTGATCCAAACTATTATAAGCTAAAGTGGTAGCGCCCTACAATAAGGTTCATTAGTTAACATTAGTTAATGTATTTAAAGGCGCAGTGTGTAAGTTTTAGCAGCATCTAGTGGTGAGGTTGTGAATTGCACCCAACAGAAGTTACGGTGGCCGATGTTATTGCGAATATTATTGTCGCTTGTTCATCATTGTGTCAGAACAACATAGTGACGAAACGCGTTTGTCCGCTCAGGGCCACCGTAGAAACATCTGGATGTAAGCGGACCCGCGGTGTGTGTAGAGAGAAATGCCTCATTCTAAGCTAATAAAAACTAAACACACCCATTACTCATTAAGAGAATAGAGAAACCCTTTTAGACCAGCGCCGGGACCACCGACCATTTGTCCCGTCGTTAAACTAGCAAATGTGGATTCGGACACTTGCGCCGTGATTTTAGACCATGAGCTTAGATGGTTAAAACAGGGCCCTTGAAGATGCTTTTGTGCGTTTGATGTGCTTGTGCCGTGACCTCACCATGACCCCTTCCTTCCAGATGGCGAAACTGAAGCTGCCCACCGTCAGGATGATGTCCTGGAAGAACGGAGAGCGGCTCACGGTGTTCACCAGAGTGTGGTGTGCGAGGAACTGATGCGTGGGTTTGGCACCTGGCAGAAAACAGACATGAAACAATAACTTTAGCATAAAACATATAATAATAAAATCAACAAAAATAAACCATCAGATCCAAAAATGAACATTTTGTCATCGTTTACTCAGCCTCGTGTGGTTTCAAACCTGTACATCTTTCTTTCTTTTGTGGAACAGAAAATGTATTTTGACAAAAAACACTTCTTAAAATATCTTCTTTTAGAAACAATCTACAGAGAATGCAATCCCAGAATGCACTGCGACTAGATCAGTGCAAAAATTGCGTCGAAATGTTATTTATAAATATATTTCAGTTCTGAGATGTATTGATAAAAATAGTGCAATATAATTACAAACTTTACCCAATATTTGTGTGTAACGTGTCACCTCTCGTGTGCTTTGTGAGTTGAAGAAAAACGAATAATTACTAATACCAATTACTAACTAATAAAAACTGCTAAATAAAAAAATGATTTTAAAATAAATAAAACACATATTAAAAAAGATGAAATGTTTCATTTGTTTACCTTCAGAGAATCGTGAATGTTTGATTGTTTTTATTTTAAATGTATTACATTTTTACATACATTTATTTCAAATAAAACATTTCATCTTTTTTTAGTATTTTATTTAGATTGTTTTTATTTTCAAATGATTTATTTTACATTTAATTTATCTCCAAAAATATTTTATTTTTTAGTACATTTTTATTTTGACTGTTTATTTTCAAATTATTTATCAAATTGTATTTATTTCAAATAAAATATTTCTTACTTTTAGTACGTTTTATTTATATTTTATTCATTTTTAAAGTATTTACTATAAATATATAATATAAATAAAGTATTTCATCCTTTTTAGTATTTTATTTTTATTGTTTTTCTTCTTTAATTTAAATATATTTGATCTTTTTAGTATTTAGTGTTTGATTTTACATTTTTACGGTGACGTTTTTTGTATGTATGATTAAAGAAAAAACAGCAAACAATTTTTTTTATTCAAACAAACATGCTTTTTTCCCTCATTGAATTTGTGCAAAATAAATAAATATTTACTCAAATTTTTATCAGCATTGCAGGTGTGACATGTTGTTAAATTATTGAGATAGTAACTTAAAATCTTTGGCACTTTAAGTAAATATTTTATCTCAAAATTTGTTTTGAAACAGAGTTCGCATGGCCATGGTTATGGGTTTGATTCCCAGAAAAAACTATGTATGCAATGTAATCTGCCACATGTAAATATAACAGTTTATACAATAGACAACAAGCAAATGGGACACTGGGTGTGAAAAGCATGTGCCAAAAGCAGAAGAGATGAATGGAACAGCAGGATTTACGAGGAAGAAATGACAGGCTTCATTAAGATCGAACGCTCACAGTAAATGAGTTCAGACACGCTGCACTAATCAAACTTAATATCCTGTAATATTTATGGAAATCACTCTGTAATTGCCTCGGTTTACAGGACGCGGTTTGGTCAAATTAGGTTTGCCAAAATCCTTCACGATGAGCTTAGTGTTTCTCTGAAAACCACAACCAGCTCCATGATCCAGAGTTTCACAAGTCCTGATTTATTGACATTCGTCATCGTCTAAGTGTCTCATTAATCGCATAATTTAGTGTTGTTCAGTTTGCTGGAGATCTTCAGCTTCTACAGTGAGATAGTAGGTGTTTAATCTGGCTTTTATGGTGTTTTTGTGGAAAAGAGTTGATTGAAGATTCTCCAAATAACATACAAAGTATTTAGAGCTAAAATATTTATCTGAAGTCCCCCTGAGAATTTACATTAATTTAATATACACACATACACATATTCCGTTAAAGGTCACATGAAATGCAGATTGACAAAATACATTATTAAATATATTTTTATTTTATTTCAAATAAAATATTGATTTTTTTAGCATGTTTTATTCCGATTGTTTTTATTTATTTTAATTTGAATTGATTTCAAATAAAATATTTTACCTTTTTAGTGTTTTATTTTTGTTTTTATTTTCAAATAAAATATTTCTTTTTTTATTGTTTTTATTATCAAATTATATATTTATTTTAAATGATTTGAAATAAATATGGTATCTTTTTGGTATGTTTTATTTTTGTTTTTATTTTCAAAGTATATCATTGTTTTTAATTTAATTTAAGATAAAATATTTATTTTATATTTATATTTATATAAATAAATGTAAATATATATAATTATATTTATTTTCAAAATATTTGTTTATTTTAGTTTTAATTTATTTCAAATAAAATATATTATATTTTGAATACATTTTATTTTAAAAGTATTTATTCAATTACATTTTTTAAATTCTTTTAAATAAAATATTTAAAAGAAACTATTTATAAATATTTATTTATTTATTTATTTATTTTAAATTGCTTTGAATACAACATTTTATATTTTTAGTATGTTTACTTTTGTTTTTATTCTCAATTTATTTATTTAAATTTCAATCTTTTTTAGTGTTTTATTTATTTGATGATGAGTTTTTTTTCTTTCCTGAACTCCAGAAATGTGCTTTCCACATGTATATAATGAGGAAAAACAGCTAAATAATGTTTTGTATGACATCAAAATATATTTTCTAATTAAATTTGTGCAAAATCAACATTTATGCAGAAAGTTAATTCTTCACTATGAATTTAGTGTGGAAAAGAGCAGTGAAGATTCTCCAAACGACATTCAGGATTGGAACGACTCGAAGGTGAGTAAAATATGTCCTTTAATATGTATCGCTTATTAGAAGATGCTTTTTTAAATTTAAAGCGATTTAATCTTGATTTTTAAAATAGTAATTAAACTCAAACTATCACTTTAAACATTTGACCTCTGAATGTAATCCCTCATCTTAACTCATTCCTGTTTTCATGTGTTGTTTGGATGTTTACTCACTGAACAGTCGTCCTGAGTCGTTGTCCTTCTCCATCTTCCAGTCGGTGTACACGAGTTCTCCGTCCTAAACAGACTCAAGAGCACACGCCTGTCTTTAGACAGAAATGATCTACTCTACAAGATATTTCATTTGAGCTTCATTACGATAGAGAGTAAAATAAAGCGGTAACACACAAGAGGTTGTGCATTACAGTAAAGGCTGTTGCTGCACTGCCCTTTGTGGCTTGTTGCGTTTATAAAACAAATAATATGCTAAAATACATTCATCAATAGCCTAATAATCCATCATAATACATTATTCTTCTGCCATATATAGTTGAGTGGATGGAAAGGGGTTGATGTGTGTTTTATAAGCATGTTTTGCCCGTGCAGAGATCTAATCTAGAATAAAGTCGTATCATTTCGAGATTAAAGTCGAAATATTTTGAGAATACAGTCTATATATATATATATTTTTTGCCTGTAAAGTCTATTCCAGCGCAGTATATATTCTGTAACTGTATACTGTCTAACACTTAATGGCTGCTCTGTTAAGTCTTCGTCGTCGGTTAGGAACCTGGGTGTGCTCTTTGATACCAACCTTTCTTTTGAAAGTCACGTGTCTAGTATCTGTAAAACCGCATTTTTTCATCTTAAAAACATATCTAAATTACGCCATATGCTCTCATTAACAAATGCAGAACAGTTAGTCCATGCGTTCATGACCTCAAGGCTAGATTACTGTAATGCTCTACTGGGTGGTTGCCCTGCACGCTTAATAAACAAACTCCAGCTGGTTCAAAACGCCGCAGCTCGAGTTCTTACCAGAACCAGGAAATATGACCATATCAGCCCGGTTCTGTCAACACTGCATTGGCTGCCTATTAAACATCGTATAAATTTTAAAATATTGTTGATTACCTTCAAAGCACTAAATGGTTTAGCTCCGCAGTACTTGAGCGAGCTCTTAACGCATTATAGTCCTTCACGTCTATTGCGATCTCTAAACTCCGGCCAGTTGATAATACCTAGAATATCTAAATCGACTGCAGGCGGGAGATCCTTTTCCTATTTAGCACTAAAACTTTGGAATAGTCTTCCCACCAATGTCCGGGAAGCAGACACACTCTGTCAGTTCAAAGCTAGACTAAAAACACATCTCTTTGGCCTAGCATACACATAATACATTATAGACTTCTATAATTCAATGTTAGGCTGCATAGATTAGGTCAGCCGGAACTGGGAACACTTCCCTTAAATCTTGATGTACTCGCTACATCATAAGAAGAATGGCATCTACGCTAATATTAGTGTCTTTGTTTATCCCGAGGTTTTCCCGCAGCCTGCCGGATCCAGGCCGTGTCCAGATCTGACGAGGGAGCTTTGCCTGGACCCGATGACAATGCAGTGCTGAAGTGTCCACTATCCTCTCCCTATGGAGGATCCCTTTCCCACTCTACAGATAAAGCGCTGTGAATTCCGGCTCGCGTACCCCGAAGTGATAAAATAAAACAAATTCTGTATCAAAATGTATAGGCAAGAAAAGTAGTTTGTTTAGGCTGGGTTGTATGAATTACAAACCTGCGCACATATTTTAAAAAGCACATAACTATAGAATTCTGAATGAGCATGTGAACGCCGTCAGCGTTAATCACAGGTTCGCGTTTAAAGTCTGATCATTTTGACGGAGGTGAATCAATCAAAGTTAACTTTAGCTGGAAGTAACATTATTCAAGAACCGCTATAACGCCAAAACAATCTGTTACCTTAAATTATATGTTTATCTCTGTAAAGCTGCTTTGAAACAATCCATTGTTAAAAGCGCTATATAAATGAAGATGACTTGACTTGACTTGTAACGTCCTAAGACAAACGGTAATGCCATGTTGTTAGATTAGCACCTGTAGAATTTCCTTTTGTTGAAAGGCAAGCCCAGATAAAAGTAAAAAGCTTCTATTATATTCAGATCCATGTCCGAGGCAGTTCGACTTCACAAACGCATTTCTTTACAAAACAATTTAAAAAAAATTCTCGTAATTTTGACTTTATTCTTGAAATATTTCGACTTTATTCTTGAAATATTTCGACTTTAATCTTGAAATATTTTGACTTTATTCTTGAAATATTTCGACTTTATTCTTGAAATATTTCGACTTTATTCTTGAAATATTTCGACTTTAATCTTGAAATATTTCGACTTTATTCTTGAAATATTTCGACTTTAATCTTTAAATATTTCGACTTTATTCTTGAAATATTTTGACTTTATTCTTGAAATATTTCGACTTTAATCTTTAAATATTTCGACTTTATTCTTGAAATATTTCGACTTTATTCTTGAAATATTTCGACTTTATTCTTGAAATATTTCGACTTTAATCTTTAAATATTTCGACTTTATTCTTGAAATATTTCGACTTTAATCTTGAAATATTTCCACTTTATTCTTGAAATATTACGACTTTAATCTTGAAATATTTCGACTTTATTCTTGAAATATTTCGACTTTAATCTTGAAATATTTCCACTTTATTCTTGAAATATTTCGACTTTATTCTTGAAATATTTCGACTTTATTCTTGAAATATTTCGACTTTATTCTTGAAATATTTCGACTTTATTCTTGAAATATTTCGACTTTATTCGTGAAATATTTCGACTTTATTCGTGAAATATTTCGACTTTATTCTTGAAATATTTCGACTTTATTCGTGAAATATTTTGACTTTATTCTTGAAATATTTCGACTTTATTCTTGAAATATTTCGACTTTATTCTCGTAATTTTAGATTTATTTATTTTTTTACGTTGCGCTTCAGGGCTTCCGCAGACACCAGCGCCTTACCTCCGTCCCCACGTATAGTTTTGTGCTGATGTTCTCCAGGGGTTTCTGCTGTTTGGCCGACGGCACCCGGAGCTGCGCGAACCCTTCCCGATCCGTGTCCTGTGGGGGTTTATCACCTAGAGAGAAAACACAGGCGTTAAAGGTGAGTGGAAATTGAATTAACGCTTTTTGGAGTCGCACAATAATGCATTATTTCCCCCTGAAATTAAAAATCTGTCATCATGAATCAATCACGGTTTGCTTATATCAGGTAATGGTAACATGACATGCAGGTAAACAAATAAAATATTTAAACTTTTTTTTGTAGTAAAGATAAAATATTTAGTTTTTTATCTTGATTGTTTTTTTTTTTACTATTTACATATTTCTTTTTATTCTAAAGTAAAAAAAAATTTGTGTGTGTTTTATTTTTATTTTTATCTTATAATAATTTATTTTAATTGTGACTGACCATTGAGTTTCATATAAATAGTTTATTTATAAGGTTAATAAACTTGACCTTAACAAATTCTTCTGGAAGACTAGGACAACATTTTGAGATTGAAATGATACATTTGTAATCACTTGAAACAGACCTATGACATCATGTCACATGCACTGTGGAGGTGGCGCCGGGGATAGGGCCCGTCATCGTTGCTTGCAGCTATATTATTGATTTTATTTAAAAATTATTTCAATTATAATTGATTTCAAACAAAATATTTCCTCTTTTTAGTAATTATTTTATTTAGATTTTTGTTATAAGATTAAAATAAACATTTTATTACTTTATTATTTATTTTAATAAATATTTATACTTTTTTTAATTTACTGATGCTTTTTCTTTCCAGAACTCCAGAACTTTGTTTTTGCTTCATATATATATAAAGAAAAATACACCTAAACAATTTGTTTGTATAAAAAACAAATATATATTTTTCTAAATTAAATTTGTGCTAAATGAAGATTTGAATTGAAGGTTCGGTGTGGAGGCTGTAGGAATGAGCTGACAGATGAAAGAGTCAGTGTTTCTGCTCTTCAGTTCAACGCGAGGTATACACAACTCTACTTATGCGAAAACTCCTGTTATAATCAATAAAGCGGCTTACACTGTGCAATGAATCTCTTATTGACATTGTGTTTAAACTTTGTTGGTTATAATAAAAGGATTCGCAAGCGTGCAGAACTCTTTTGGGTTCATGCGCTCAACAGATATGTCTGTGATTGGCTACATAGCTCAACGCTGCAAAAACAGGTTGTAAATAGTGACCGAATAAATCTAAAATAGTGCTGGTGTCTCACCTGTAACGTAGTCCACTGTATTGTCCCGAAAGCTGAACTTCAGAGGACTGTATTCACCACTGGAGCCGATCTTTGGCAAGGAGACCTACAGTAGACAGAGGGAACCTGATTTAAAGGCACTTTATATAAAACAAAGCAGCTTCACAGTAATAAACAGGAAAATGACAGAATCAATAACTTTAATTCCTGCTGTAAAGCAGCTAAAAAGACATTTAGTCCGTCTTGAGCCAAGGATCACAGTGGTGTAAAAACATTCAGTCTAAAGCCCTATTCGCACGGGATTAGTATTATCTGGGGACCTCGTGTGATTTAAAAATTACCCCGCCACATCTGAATTTCGTGTGGCGCATTCGCACGGGATAACCGAAGCCTGTGATTTTACTCGAATTTACTGACTTATCTCCCGGATATGACATCAATAGGCTTGGAAATTTCTTTTCGTTACAGGTCTAGCTGTATGATATATTATGACCTAAACAGAATAAAGTTCCTTACCGCATGCTGCTATACATGTCATTCATCTCCATCTAATCATTCGTTTTGTTTTTGCTCTTCTGATGATTTTCAGCTTTCACTTTCTGCAAATTGTGTAGTTGCGATATGACCCAGCACCCAAAATACTATCAAAACACTCCAAACCAGCCTCCATTCTTCGCGGAAGATGGATAAAAAGGCGCACATGAAACAAAAACCTTGAAAAAATGACATACGATCCGGCCAAATCACAGAGATCCCGATTCGCGCGGGACTAATATTATCACAGGACCTCGGTGTTCGGCGAAATATAGTAGGTCATTTGCGGGGGAATTTTTACTTTACAAATTACAGACATGGCCGATTCCCACGGGATTAAGATCACAGACAAACTCCGCAATTATTACAAATTACTATATGTCACCAGATAATACTAATCCCGTGCGAATAGGGCTTTAGTCAAACGGTTTAGGAGTTATGAGTGATTTAGTAGTTTTGGTTGCTGTAGCGCCACCTATGGGCCAATCGGGGTCATACTCTGATAGGTTCTCCCCAAATTGAGGACTACCACCTGGCCAGGTTCACGTCTCTAGCTCTTACGGTTTGGTCTGCGCGATCAGTTTTACCAATCCTTACAATTACAGTAGGGTTTCAGCACTTGTGCTTGAACCCCTAATAATTAAAGCGCAGTGTGAAAAGCCCCAGACATGTGTGTGTGTGCAGCACATACTCGGATCAAGGGTTTCCAGGTCAGGTTGAGGTGTTTGAAGGTGTTTGGTACACCATGAGGGTTTTCCGGGGGCTTTTCCTCCGATTTCTGTTTCACGTCCGTGAGGGACTGAGACACGACACGAGGAGGTCGAAGATCCCAGAATAACACACAGCTGAAACACGCACACACATTGAGGAGTGAGTTTGATGTTAAACAAGAGCATAAGCATGTGTGTGTGTGTCTAGTGTAGATCACAGCACCAGTCAGGAGAACACGTGACCATCTGAACGGACATACGACTCGGGTTTTCCACTGGAATCCCTAATCGGGACACCTGAGCGAGAAATTGAGGAACATAAATGCTGCAGTGTGATTTAAATGTAAATATTAAACTCTTAAATGCAAAAAAATGCTTTTCTTACTTAGTATTTTTGTCTTGTTTCCAGTCCAAATATCTAAAAACTCTTAAATCAAGATGCATTTACTAGATGAGTAAAATGGCATAAGATATTAAGTCCTGTTTTCTGGGGGAATTAATCAAAATTAAGTGAGTTGATGCTTAAAAAAAGCAAAATTATCTGCCAATGGGGTGAGAAAAATAATCTTAATTTAAACAGAAACAACATTATTTTTCTCACCGCATTGGCAGATAATTTTGCTTGTTTTAAGCATCAACTCACTTAATTTTGATTAATTCTCCAGAAAACAGGACATAATATCTTATATCATTTTACTCATCTAGTAAATGCATCTTGATTTAAGAATGTTTACATTGTCTGATGAGATATGGGAAGAAGGCCTATCGAGAATAAAGAGCTGTTCTGTAAATTCGAGATACAAATTAATCCAGTTTAAAGTTATACACCGAATTCACTACTCCAAAACTAGATTAAGCAAAATATTTCCCTCCATATCTTCTCAATGTGATAGGTGTGGGATGGCGGAGGGGACATTGGCACATTTATTTTGGTTCTGCCCTAATTTATATGATTTCAGGTCTAAGATTTTTGAATTGTTTTCAAGCGCATACAGAATTAACATTCAACCTGACCACAATCTGGCTATTTTTGGCTATTCTGATGTAATGGATACTATTCCCCATACTTTTCAGCATGCTCTAATAGGCTTGATTGCGGCCAAGAAAGTAATACTCCTCAATTGGAAAAGTTCACAAGCGCCTTGTTTTCGAAGATGGTTAAATGAGATGCTTTTTAATATCCAAATTGAACACTTACATTTTGGGGAGTTCTACTCACAAAAAAGATTTGAAGCCACATGGCGACCTCTCTTGGGACTTTTGGTAGTTTAACACTTATTTCCCTCTCCTGTGGGGAATTTGCTGTATTATAAAACAATTGCGAATATTGTAATTTATGTGTATCTATTTATTTTTCTTTTCAATAATTATTGTGTATATATTTGTGGACTGAGGCAATCTTAGATGTTTTTTTTTTTTTTGTGTCTTTGTTGTCCTGACTGTTTTATGTTTTTTGTGTTTGTTCATATAACTTCAAAACTGTTAATACAAATAATAATAAAAAAAGAATGTTTACATATTTGGACTGGAAACAAGACAGAAACACTGAGTAAGAACAGCCTTTTTTGCAGTGTAACCGCTATATCCTTCTGTTTTTAAAGACAGGAGAGTTAACCCCTGGTTTACCTCGAATGTTTCTGGCAGCCACTGAATGTCTGTGACCGGCGCTTTGTGTCCGTTCTCTATCCCAGACACAGCGCAGTACCGGACCACGGGGATTACATCGCTTGTGTCCTGGAAAAACATGCACATATTTTATTTGCATAGTGTAAAAAAAGGTTTAATTTGTTAGTTTTCTATATTAGTTAACATGAAAAATACTTCTACAGCATTTAGTAATCTTAATTAATGTTAACATTTACAATTGAAACATTAATTTCACAACATAAAACTCTAATCTACACAAGTGATGAGAAAACTAAGACGAAACAGTTATTTCAATGAAAATCCATCAAATGTGACCCATCACACGTAGGATTCTGGGAATGTCAATGTGCGTTTTTTACTGTATATTATAAGATGACATTTACATTTTTACATTTTACAGTTATACAGTATTTTACTGTAAAATTACACGAAACGTCCCATTAGGTCTATTACAGTTTTTCACTGTATAGAGTAAGGGAACTTACCAATAACTTACCAATACAGGTTTTTACCATAGCATTCTTACAGTCTTTTACTGTTAAAATTGCAGTAATTTTTTACAATGTGTCTGTAGTATTGTTTTTATATAAAGCTAATAATAATAACTAGATACACAGTATTTATTTAGATGTCATTTTTACATTTAAGGATGTCATCAAAGGCACATTTAGCACATCTGGACACAATATGTTCCCAAAGTATTGCTAGCAAACACACACATGCTCTTAATGCTCATCTTCTGTGATTGGGAAAGTGTGTTTATATAAGGTATCAGTTAAACGTCAGTTCATTAAATGAGCTTTAAACAGATTGTTGGTGGTCACATGACCCGTTGTGAACTGCTGTTTGCACACATAACAGCTGTGTGTGTGTGTGTGTGTGTGTGTGTGTGTGTGTGTGTGTGTGTGTGTGTGACTCACTAGTTTGTTTGAGATGTTGTCACCGCCACTGCGGGTGTCCTGAAGTCTCTCCACATGTGCTGAAATATCCCATAACACTACCTGTAAACAAGACAAAAGTTAGTCGATATACTGCATGTCACGAGTCGACAGCATAACAGTGTGTTAACGTCGCAGAAGATGCACATATTGAACATTCATAAAACCAGAACGTAATAATGTGTTTGGTTTGTTTTAGGTCTTTGTGGAGATCTTACAAATCTCCACGGTCCAGTTTTACCTCCATTTCTGCTGAGATCCATCATAAGGCAAGGCTAGTTTGTTTATAGCACATTTATTTATTTATTTTATTTATAAGTTTATTTGTATAAGGACAGTACAAAAAAAACATGATCCCAGTTAAAACTGGAAAATATGTATTGCACATAGAGAGTATAGCAAGAGCTAATTTGCATCTCAGGTCCCTAGGAAGGCTTTTCTATTAAAAAAATAAAAGAAAATACAATAAAAAAACTAAGACTCATAGAATAAAACCACCACATTGTGTCACTTACAGACAATCAAATACCTACCTAAAATTATACATATCAGAAATGAGCTTACAACTCAAGCATAAAACTTTAACATCACAATACACTTTTATGTTACATTACACTCTTACATTACACTTTAATAAAATAAAATAAAACTTTTACTTTTACATTACATTACACTTTTACATACTAAAATTATTACATTTAAATATGCGTGCAGTTCTGGTTTATTTTAAACCACCGTTTTAACTTCAGTGTAAAGGACTTTATTTCAGGTATTACCTTAAACTCATTTGGCAGCAGGTTCCAGAGTTTGGAGCCCTCTACAGAAAAGGCTCTTTGCCCTTGTGTAGTCTTACGAAAATTAATCCTACAATTACCACCTGCCGAACTCCTAGTGATTCTATTTGTATCATCCTGTCTCTTTATCAATTTACATAAGACTGATGGTGCCTTATTGTGCAAACATTTAAAAATCAATTTTATATATGACAGGTTCTTAAAACTCACAAAACTTAGCATATTAGTTTTTTTTAAAAACATTGCAGTGATGCCATTGATTTGGCTTTTTATCCATTATTTTTAGAGCTCGATTATATAACATTTCATACATGTTGGTTATTTAAAGTGCTTTACATTAAAAGGCACATTTTTTTCATGCACTGCTCAATGTTAAGATTATGAGCTATTCTGCCACCATAAAATGTCTTTCTTCAGATTAGTGTAAATAAAACGTAATCTTTGTTTTATTGCACTTCATCAATTTGCGTCTGTAGATTTCAATTACACTACATATCTTTAAAGAGTTTGTCCTCCACTTCTGCAGCAGTTATAAACACCAACATTTACAGTGTTATTCCTGTCTATATTCTGAAGGTTTTTACTGAAGGATTTGCTAATATATCACTCACACTGATTTATATAACATCGTATTCCTAAAACATGGTGAAAATCTGTTTTTTTTCAGGCTGTCGACAGTATTTTCTGATTTATGCAGTGATAAAAAGAGATATCCAAAATCCCCTCAGTAAAAACCTTTAACTCTAATATGAATATAATATATGTATGAATATATAATAATATTTATGTTCTGGAAGTGTATACAAATGAGTGCATGTTTAATTAGACAATGGCCTATTTCCACATTTAAACATAATATTCTGAAAAACTTGGTACAATACTTTCTTAATGTAGTCAACTGGGGAAAATATGGTGATATATACCAGTTAAAGTCCCCCTGTGGTGAGAATCCAGCTTTGTTTATGTGTCTATGTGGTGTTTTTAATATGCTTTAACACACACCATGTGTAAGTTCATAAGTCGACAGCATTGCTGAGTATTTCCTGCTTAAAACTGCAGTGAACCAAAGACAGTCTCAAAAACACGGTTTGAAATCGCTGGTGTTTCTGACGTCACAAACGACCTTGTAACCAATCAGATCAACGTGTGATCGTCAACCAGTGGATCTCTGAGCTGAGTGAGTGAGTGGAGGCGGGGCTCATTTGCATATTCATAGAACCGCGCATACTAAATGAGGCAAGGGTGTCGAGTTACACTCAAGCTATTTTAAGGAAAAAACATTTAAATATGTAATTTTGCTGATCAAAGATGAGTTTTAAGGGATACAATCATTGACCACAGGGGGACTTTAACATTTTAACCCTAATTATCTATAGTGTCTTTCCTTTAAAATGATCATTAAATAATCAGAACAGATGCATAAGAGATAACATATAGGATAAAAGAGTGTAAGTGGAAGGTGAAACTGGTTTCTGGAGTGATGTGCACCTGGCCGTTTATGCAGCCGCCAGCGATGATGTTCGGGTCTGACGGGCAGAACTGGAAACAAAGAACATCTTCAGGACATTCAAGCTGCAACTGCAAAGCAAACAGTGGATTGAGTTCACATCTGTTCTTCTGCTCACGGTTCTGCCTCGATTACAGGGGTGTACGCTAAAATAAATGTTCTTAATGCTTTTAATCATTAAAAATAGGGGATAAATCCTTCCTATCACAGCCAGAAAAAACTCTTAAATGAAAGGTAGTGTTGGTGTTTACTGAGCGGGTCTCAGTGATGATTATTATAATGTTTTATTATTGTTATTGAGTGTTTTTTGTGTTTTTATATTTATGTACATTGTTGGTTCTTTGTGTGTATGCATGTTAAAACACAAGCATAATAAAGGAATCAATCAATCAATTGTATGATTGTGCATTTTGTATTTTACATGCTATTTCCAAACTGCAGTAAACATTACACTGGAAACTTTTGTATACGTAACATACACTGATGATGAAGATGAAGATGATGCTGATTACCTGTGGGTTTATGGGGTCAGTGAAGCTCCAGAAGAGAATGTATGACGGGTTTAACAGGAGTTTAGTGGAGTTCTCGATCCGCTCCTCGAGGGACAGTCTCTCCGTCATGGCCACCGCAATCACACCTGAAAACACACTCCTTTATTATGCAGAACAATGGGGGAAATCACACATATTTGATCATTTTATTGTATGTCTATTTTAATATTATTTTATTGTATTTTATTTTGCACTAAGACTATTTTATTTTATTTAGCACTTGGATATTTATTTAACTTTTTCACTATGGATATTGTATTTTATTATTATTTTATTTTGCTTTATTTAATTATTTTATTCTGCACTTCTGGATATGTTATTTTATTTTGTACTATGGCTATTTATTGTTATTTTATTTGATTACTTTATATTGCACTCTGGATATTTTATTTTGTACTATAGCTATTTAATTTTATTAAAAAATTTTTTTTTTTTATATATATATATCTTTTTTTTAATAAGAAATACAATTTACAGACCCAAATCTACAGAGACAATACATGCTTATACATTCATCCTCACATTCATACCCCAAAAACATACATGAGAAAAGGTTTCATATAATTATAATAAACATAGAATATTATTCCATTTTTTGTTATATTCATCTAATTTATTGTTGCTTTCTGCTATTATCTTTTCTAAAAGAAGATGCGACCTTATAACATTCTTAAAGTAACCTAAACACAAGCATGATGATACTTTTTAAATTTTATTTAATTTTACTATTTTATGTTATTATTTTATTTTTATTTTTCACTATGGATATTGTATTTTATTATTATTTTATTTTGTTTTATTTTATTTTGCACTATGGCTATTTTATGTTATTTTTTTTATGTTTTTGAATTTTTTCACTATGGATATTTTATTTTATTTTGTACTATGGCTATTTTATTATTATTTTATTTTATTACTTTATTTTGCACTATGGCTATTTTATTATTATTTTATTTTATTACTTTATTTTGCACTATGGCTATTTTATTATTATTTTATTTTATTACTTTATTTTGCACTATGGCTATTTTATTTTATTTTGTACTATGGCTATTTTATTATTATTTTATTTATTACTTTATTTTGCACTATGGCTATTTTATTATTATTTTATTTTATTACTTTATTTTGCGCTATGGCTATTTTATTTTATTTTATACTATCGCTATTTAATTCTATTTTATTTGACTATTATTTTATTTTATTATTGTATTGTTATTTTATTCTGCGCTATGACCGTTTTATCCTGAATGATTGATTAAAGGTGTGTATTATTTGGCTTTGCATGTCGTGTGCTGACCGCTGATGGAGGGATGCCAGTGCACGTGACTGATGCTCTTCTCTTTGCTGAAGTGCAGGTCCATGAACGACTGATACTCCTTCAGCTGAGTCTCCGTCTTCCCCGTCGGCACACCGTCGTCCTCACACAGGGCCGTCCAGTCGTCACAGAACGCGTCTGAGAGGAGATTCTGCTGCAGGGACACTTCAAACCTGACACGCGCAGAGAAGAGCGTAACATTTAAGAAATGTTTTGGAAATATAAAGCAATTTTGAATTTGAATTTGAGAGAACAACTGGAACCAAATGTTATGGCATTGCCACATTCAGAGAAGAGAGAAGTGAGTTCAGAATAACCTGACCTGATCGCCACAGATGTGATGAAGTTCTTCAGGCTCTCTGATCGCAGCTGATGTTCTCTCTCCTCAGGACTGAACTCTCGGGGTTCGTACTGCGTGCACATGTTCTTTGGGTGCTTCCTGTAACACGTGACCATCTCTCAGCGCATCATGCCAATCATAGAAAATGCGGACGATATGTGACTCTGGATCACAGAACCAGTCTCAGGTCGAGCGGGGATATCTGTGGCAATAGCCAATAACACACTGACTGTATGGGTCACAATTATCCATTTTTCTTTTATACCAAAAATCATTAGGATATTAAGTTAAGATCATGTTCCATGAAGATATTTTGTAAATATATAAAACATGTATTTCTGTGAGTGAATGCTGCACAATCGCCAACATAAATGCACAACTTTAAAGGAGATTTTCTCAATGTTTAGATTTTTTTGCACCCTCAGATTCCAGATTTTCAATAGTTGTGTCTCAGCCAAATATTGTCCTGATTTATTCAGCCTTCAGATGATGTATAAATCTCAATATCAAAAACTTGACCCTTGAGACTGGTTTTGCGGTGCAGGGTGCTAGTGTGTGAGTGTGTTGAGGTGTGTGTACCACAGTGTTTGCGTGGACGAGTGTGTGGTGTCTCTGGAGGCCTGAACGCTCGTGCTTCTCTCCATCTGTGTGATGCTGAAGCTCTTGTCCTCGTATGATGGACACTCCACGTATCCGTCATTCCCGTCGGAGAAACACACCGGAGCGCCACAGTGCCGCATCAGAGGAGACATCTTATACCTGAGCTGGAGAGAGAGAGAGAGAGAGAGAGTGTGTGAGTGAGTGAGAGAGAGAGAGAGAGAGAGAGAGAGAGAGAGAGAGAGAGAGAGCAAGAGAGAGAGAGCAAGAGAGAGAGAGAGTGTGTGAGTGAGTGAGAGAGAGAGAGAGAGAGAGAGAGAGAGAGAGAGAGAGAGAGAGAGAGAGAGAGAGTGAGAGAGAGAGAGAGAGAGAGAGAGAGAGAGAGTGAGAGAGAGAGGTGAGAGTGTGAGAGTGTGTGAGTGAGTGAGAGAGAGAGAGAGAGAGTGAGAGAGAGAGAGAGAGAGAGAGAGAGAGAGAGAGAGAGAGAGAGAGAGAGAGAGAGAGAGAGAGAGAGAGAGAGAGGAGCCGACGTGCACCGACGTGCCCTTCCACGTGATCCACGGGAATAATGTGGAACTCTCCAGAAGCTGTGCACTCATCCCTAATGTTCATCTCGCCCATCACAAAGACATACAGCCTCATCATATGTATGACCACGTACATCTCAACAAGCAAGGAGTGAAAGTCTTCGCCAGAGTGCTGAAAAGCACAGCCCTTGGAAACACAACAAGAAACAGAAACTTCGATAACAAAAGAAGCTCTCAGCCACCGAGAAGCCCTCGTCCTCCAGCAGAGCCCAGACCGGCCCCCGGGCCTCCATCACAACACAAGAGCTACACAACACCGAGAAGCCCTCGTCCTCCAGCAGAGCCCAGACCGGCCCCCGGACCTCCATCACAACACAAGAGCTACACAACACCGAGAAGCCCTCGTCCTCCAGCAGAGCCCAGACCGGCCACCGGCCCTCCATCACAACACAAGAGCTACACAACACCGAGAAGCCCTCGTCCTCCAGCAGAGCCCAGACCGGCCCCCGGACCTCCATCACAACACAAGAGCTACACAACACCGAGAAGCCCTCGTCCTCCAGCAGAGCCCAGACCGGCCACCGGACCTCCATCACAACACAAGAGCTACACAACACCGAGAAGCCCTCGTCCTCCAGCAGAGCCCAGACCGGCCACCGGACCTCCATCACAACACAAGAGCTACACAGCGGCCGCCCAACAACCCCAGAACCCTGCAGCCGCTGAACTCAACCAGATAAGGCATCTGCTGAACATCATCTGCTCCAGACTGAGGACATAGCCTGCATAACACACACACACACACACACACACACACATTATAGAAGAACCTACTCATGAAATCTTTTAAAATCAGTTGTTGGAATATACAAGGTCTGCACTCTTCTACTTTTGGTAATAAGACTGCAGACCAAGACTTACTCAGCAGTGTAAGAGATATGGACATCTGTATCTTTCATGAGACGTGGTGTCGTAGTAATGAGACTTTACATTGCCCAATAGGATATAAGGAAATTATAGTTCCTTCATCAAAAAATTCTAAAATAAAATGTGGCCGAGACTCAGGTGGAATACTCATATGGCACAAAGACGATTTAAAACATTCGATTAAAATTGCTAAAAGTGGAAAATCTTCTATTTGGCTTGAAGTGAAATCCATCATACCACAGTCTAATCTTTACCTCTGTGCCATCTATATCCCACCTCACGACTCTCCCTATTACGAAGAGGACAGCTTCCCAACATTACAGGCGGACATCTTACACTTTCAGTCCAGAGGAAACGTCCTCGTCTGCGGAGACTTAAACGCCAGAACAGGGCGAGAAATTGATTATGTAAATATTGTAGATAATGACCACATCCTCAGTGACACCACGTTTCATTCCTCATTGAATATCACACAGAGAAACAGCTATGATAATTCAGTGAACATTAATGGAAAACAAATGTTAAAACTCTGTAAAGGTTTAGGACTCTACATCATCAATGGCAGAACTCGTGGAGATACATTAGGTAGATTCACTTACTGCTCCAGATTAGGAACCAGTGTGGTGGATTATTCAATAACAGATATTGACCCAAGCTTTATTAATGCCTTCACAGTCAGACCTCAGCTCCCGATCTCCGATCACTGCCAAACTGTGCTTTATCTGAAACCCCCGTGTGAAATAACTAAAACTTCTCCACTCGAATCTGAAAAACTGTTTCCTCTGAAACCCAAACTTAAATGGAATCAATCCAACTCAGAACAATTCAAAGAAAATATGAACAGTCCAACTATATCAAAAATGCTGGATGAATTTATGTCCACTGATTTCACTTTAGATATTAATGGAATAAATTTAGCAACAAAAAACTTAAATTACATATTCAAAACATTGATGACTCTATCTAACATTAAACAGCAAAGCACACATAAAACAAACCAACAGAGAATGAGAAAGGATGTGTGGTTCGATGATGAATGTGCCGGTCTCAGGAAAGAGTTGAGGAGACTCTCTAACCAAAAGCACAAGGATCCGTCCAGCCAGACATCACGGCTTTCTTATTCAGACTGTCTGCAGAATTACAAAAGACTTTTGTGGAACAAAAGAGAAAAATATTTTAAAACCAAAATTGATGAAATTGATGACTCGGTAGATCAAAACACTTTCTGGAATCTTTATAAAAAACTTGAAAAACCCAAACTAGAGATGTCACTCCAGAATGGCACAATTTGGAAATCTTACTTTGAAAATTTGTATCGAAAAATTGCACCAGCTGACCTTAATCAACCCCAGAGTAAACTAAAGAAAACTCTAGAAGACATGGAGAAAACAATAAAAAATTATCAAAATCCATTAGATAAATCCATAACAATATCTGAAATATGAGAACATATTAAAAATCTTAAATTAAAGAAAGCATGTGGACAAGATCACATAAGTAACGAAATGCTTAAACTCAGCAGTCCCAGCATGATTCAAACTCTAGCCAAACTATTTAATCTGGTGTTGTGGTCCGGAAGCGTCCCTGAGAGCTGGCCTGAGGGACTCATCACACCCATATTCAAGAAAGGAGATCGATTCCACCCCAATAGCTATCGCGGCATCAGTGTGGGCAGTGCTTTAGGAAAACTGTTCTGCAGGATCATAAACACACGCATTGTCTCACACATCTCATCACACAACATCTTAAATAAAGCACAGATTGGCTTTCTACCAAAACACCGCACGTCCGACCACATCTATTCCCTCCACACTCTCATCAACGAAAACATCAAGGGCAAACAAAGGAAAATATTTGCATGTTTTGTAGACTTTAAAAAAGCATTCGATTCAATTTGGCATGATGGTCTACTGTACAAAATCCTAAAAATTGGCATTGGCGGAAAAACTTTTGATTTAATAAAATCTCTATACAGCAACAGCAAAAGTGCGGTGAAAATCAGGAACCACAGAAGCGGGTTCTTCCAGCAGGGCCGTGGAGTGAGTGTGTGTGTGTGTGTGTGTGTTCTTCCAGCAGGGCCGTGGAGTGAGTGTGTGTGTGTGTGTGTGTGTTCTTCCAGCAGGGCCGTGGAGTGAGTGTGTGTGTGTGTGTGTGTGTTCTTCCAGCAGGGCCGTGGAGTGAGTGTGTGTGTGTGTGTGTGTGTTCTTCCAGCAGGGCCGTGGAGTGAGTGTGTGTGTGTGTGTGTGTGTGTGTGTGTGTGTGTGTGTTCTTCCAGCAGGGCCGTGGAGTGAGTGTGTGTGTGTGTGTGTGTGTTCTTCCAGCAGGGCCGTGGAGTGAGTGTGTGTGTGTGTGTGTGTGTTCTTCCAGCAGGGCCGTGGAGTGAGTGTGTGTGTGTGTGTGTGTGTGTGTGTGTGTGTGTTCTTCCAGCAGGGCCGTGTAGTGAGTGTGTGTGTGTGTGTTCTTCCAGCAGGGCCGTGGAGTGAGTGTGTGTGTGTGTGTGTGTGTGTGTTCTTCCAGCAGGGCCGTGGAGTGAGTGTGTGTGTGTGTGTGTGTGTTCTTCCAGCAGGGCCGTGGAGTGAGTGTGTGTGTGTGTGTGTGTGTTCTTCCAGCAGGGCCGTGGAGTGAGTGTGTGTGTGTGTGTGTTCTTCCAGCAGGGCCGTGGAGTGAGTGTGTGTGTGTGTGTGTGTTCTTCCAGCAGGGCCGTGGAGTGAGTGTGTGTGTGTGTGTGTGTGTTCTTCCAGCAGGGCCGTGGAGTGAGTGTGTGTGTGTGTGTGTGTGTTCTTCCAGCAGGGCCGTGGAGTGAGTGTGTGTGTGTGTGTGTGTGTGTGTGTGTGTGTGTGTGTTCTTCCAGCAGGGCCGTGTAGTGAGTGTGTGTGTGTGTGTTCTTCCAGCAGGGCCGTGGAGTGAGTGTGTGTGTGTGTGTGTGTGTTCTTCCAGCAGGGCCGTGGAGTGAGTGTGTGTGTGTGTGTGTGTGTTCTTCCAGCAGGGCCGTGGAGTGAGTGTGTGTGTGTGTGTGTGTGTTCTTCCAGCAGGGCCGTGGAGTGAGTGTGTGTGTGTGTGTGTGTTCTTCCAGCAGGGCCGTGGAGTGTGTGTGTGTGTGTGTGTGTGTGTGTGTGTGTGTGTGTGTTCTTCCAGCAGGGCCGTGGAGTGTGTGTGTGTGTGTGTGTGTGTGTGTGTTCTTCCAGCAGGGCCGTGGAGTGTGTGTGTGTGTGTGTGTGTGTGTGTGTGTGTGTGTGTGTTCTTCCAGCAGGGCCATGGAGTGAGGCAGGGCTGCAGTCTGAGCCCGACTCTATTCAACATCTACATCAATGATCTGGCATCAGCGCTGGAGAGCTCCACTGTGCCCGGCCTCACTCTACACCACACACAGGCCAGGGGTCAGGGGTCAGAGGTCAGATGTCTGCTGTACGCGGATGATCTGGTCCTGCTGTCCCGCACACCAGAAGGCCTTCAGCAGAGCCTGTCCCTGCTGGAACAATACTGTCACGACTGGGCCCTGACAGTCAATCTGGACAAAACCAGAGTCATGGTGTTCCAGAAGAAGGCCAGATCTCAGGAACACAAACACCAGTTCCTGTATAAAGGCCAGGTCCTGCAGCACAGCACGAGCTATAGCTATCTGTGTGTGTGTGTGTGTGTGTGTGTGTGTAAGGCCAGGTCCTGCAGCACAGCACGAGCTATAGCTATCTGTGTGTGTGTGTGTGTGTGTGTGT